ATGATTCGCAATGATAACAGTTCAAATGTATTTTACCTAATCACGCAATAAACACGTTTTTTTCTTGAGTAGCGTGAACTGATCGTGAACTCCGATTTGACCATGTTATATCGAGGTGGAATTGATTTTGAAATAATTTTAGCGTTCAATCTAAAGACTGTGTCTATCGCAGAAAGTATTTACTTACAAACAAAGAGGTGCTAATTCCACAAATTTGACTAGCCGCTACGTATCGTGCGACTAGGTCTATTGTTTATAAATTATAATCCACGACTGGCAGGATGCATGTCGGTCGGTACGTAATTATACCAACAATCAGAAAATAGTCCACGTCGGAAGCATTTCCGTGGTGGTCACTAATTTTGAGTGACGGTCGGGGCCGACCGGCGTGGCGAACAAAGCTTTTTCACATCTGATATTGGCATGTCAAATATGAAATCAAGCGCCGAGGTGGGAACACATAGCGCCGAGGTCCCAAGTGAAGCGCCGAGATTCACAGGTATAGCGCCGCGGACCTCGGCGCTAAAAAGCCCTGGGGAGAACCCTGAATTTAATGAGATGGTATATGTAAATAATTTAATTGCTATTTATTATTAAAGTTACATGCATCCCTTCACTAATCCTTTCAAGCATAACATGTATTTATTTTAGGTTCTGTACATGAGAAAGCTTATCAAGCAGAATCCTGAAATTTATTTCAAAAGAATCTCCTGAATAAAGTTATGCAAACAGTGATTACTGCAATGAAAAAGATTAATCTCGGAGGCTACGTCCGTAACGTGATGGTTCTAACAAGGCTCCAATAATTCAAGATTTGTTGTCATGGCAACCGAAATGAGTAAAGTATTTACTTACCGTGTTGAATCTATAGTAGATGAGATGTTTGATATCTTTACACATCCTTATCTGCTTCATAAGTTTGTATTTATATCTGTACATACCGGTTAACTGACCAACATGGGAGAACATGTACTGTAAGCCGTCAGAAAGCTACAAAACAATGGTATATTTTATATTCAAGTGAAAGTATTAAATAAACAGCATATTCGACAAAGCAAAGGTGTAGTCACCTGCACACTCGTGGGAATCAAGTCCCAATTGACCATAACACACACTAAAAACGTAAAGGTTCATGGGTAGATATTTGTAAACAATGACACGCTATGGTCGTCAGCCACATATGCAGCTGACAACTCCCACTTTCAACTGAAGTATGTTATTACTACTAGTAGGGTTACATAATACACCTACCTGGAAGGCGTCAACGTTGCCAAGGCGATACTGTACATGACTGTCAACTACTAGTTTTGTAAGACGAAGAATCTCTCGACACAAGTGGAAAGCATTACCAAATCTGGATTTCTTTCGTTCCTGGTGAAAAGATTGTAAAGAACATAGTAAACAGTTGTATGTTTACAATAATGGTTGTCTTGTTATTTGACACTGTATTGGATTTCATCTATTACAGAACAGTGACAACTGGAAATGTTTCAGGATAAATCCTTTGTAGTTACCTAGATGACAAGTAACTAAGCAATAATGGAAATCACTGAATTTATTATAGCATTGATTATACGAACAAACCACAAGATATGAAATGACTTGTAGCTGTAGATACCATACAATGCAACACAGCCAGTTGCATTTGTTACTTTCAGTTGCGACAACTCAATATGAATGAATCCTAGTTTGTACACACAATTGTGTCTTGTTATTAAACATCAATTGAACAAAGTCTGTCAAGGTACGTTCATTTTCACAAAACAATTAACATTTTTTTGTGAAGAAAATAACCTCTCGTTGGCAAAAGGTCGTCAAAGTAAAACAAGCGACCTGACGGTCGAAATAGCTCCACTGTCTTCATTATCACGGAACAAGAATCAGTAAAGTGGCATTGTGGTTGACGGTTTCGGACTAGTTGTCGAAAATAACATTTTTTACGAAAAAATGACAAATATTCACTAAAAATCTAAATTTGCATATTTTGACACAAATTTAACAAATCTGACAGAGGACCACCCCAAGTACCATTGCTGCAAATATCAAAGCATTTGGACTTACGGTTTTTGACTAATTGTCGAAAATAAAATTTGTTACCAAAAATGACAAAAATATTTACTAAAAATCCAAATTTGCACATTTTGACACAAATTTAGCAAATTGCACCTTTGGTACAAATATGAATGTAATTGGTCAAGTACTTTTGAAGAAGAAGTCATTCAAAGGAAAACTTCACATGGGACGGATGCCGCCGGAGAGACCCCCATACCAACAGCTCCGCTGGGTCATCTGTGATGACAGCGAAGCTAAAAAACAAAATCAACATGCACATGTACATCTAAATACTATGTTTTGTCTTCGTACCAACTACAAATAAAATTGATTCAAGAAAGTTGTAAAAATAATGTGACTGATGTAAGGAACCCAAAATGGATACAATTTTTTTAGAAATACGACAGTGAAAGGGAAACCAATAGAGGGAGATGCAAACAGTTTTAATCCATAAAGTATCGTACCTTAGTAGTGAGAGTTTTGACAGGTTTCAGGTTAAAGTTATAATCTAAATGTAAATAGTTGAGGTTTTTTCTGTGAATCAACAGATTCAACATGTTGTATCCCTGTCTGCAGACCTGTAAACCAGTCTCTACCCAGTCTAACGTTGTTGACTGGAAAAACTTTGTGGCTTTAAAAGACCGGAAAAGATATCTGAAAAACAAATACAAATTATTTTAAATTAAATGAATGTATTTTTGGATTCCATTATTCCCTGAAAGGAATTTCAAATCTCTTGTTTATTAATCAAAATATTAATTGGCATTTTGATAGATGAGAAATATTAAACAAATAAGTCATGTACCAAAATATTAATATTGAAGTTAGCTAATGTCATCATATTGTTGGAGTTAATATGGTCATTGTACTGAGTTTCAATGCATGATGCACTCCTGAAATCCAGTTCAAAACAAAAATGACTGAATGGTTATCGTTGACTGATGACATCTTTGATGACTAACCAAGTAATGTCATGAAATCAATCTAGGTATAACTGAGAATAAACCTGATGGAGAGAAGAGAATCCTTAGACCCCCTTTTCTGCCTTTCATCTGAACCATTCTTAACACTACATTTCTCACCTTTTTTTCTGTGACTTTGGTGGTCTCTGTTTCAGTGCATTCAGTACGTAATACTTCAATAGTTTCTGGTAGGATACACGCACTTTGACTGGCTGACCAGCAGGACAATGCTCACGATACCTGAATGGAAATGATCACAAGTTAGTACACAATGCAACTTTATACCACTTCCCAGAACAAAGTTTCTACCCTACTTTCTTCTATTTTTTTGTTCAGCGAGGAAACACCGGGATTTAAACCCTAAATCTTCCCATCAACTAAGTTGTATTGATGTTCACTGCACCAGATGAGCTAAGCAGGTGTTTGCAAAAAGAAACTGCAAGTTTTGAGAAAAATATATTTTACATCTGCTTAGCCTTTTAATCACCCACATTTTTCTGTACCTTTTCTTTACGCTGGTATTCTTCAATATATTTGGAAATGAACCCTAATTTTGGAGCCGACAGACAAAATTGAGTCAATTTTTGTTCCAATCTTCTGAAGAAATTTGCAGACTATAAACAGGACTATATTGTTAATTTGTGATGAAAAGGGAGAACTGGTGGTGAAAGCGTGAATTGCAAATGTGATTGCATCAAGTTCACATCAAAACCCTTATGATGATCACATCATCAACTACTATTAGATAGAAAAGTTATCTAAAGTTTGCATGACTGTTATTTGATTTAAATCATGATTTGTTAAATTATTAGTATGTCTAACACTAGGTAGATAAATATTAGTTACGGTGAAATTTCAGATAAGCACATATTCTTTTAATAGAACAAATGGAGTTGTAGGTACGGGTTATACTCACCATGTTTTAACAAGTGGAATATCCACAGCTCTACGTTGTATACCGGATCTTAAATTGAATGGTCTGGGAGCCCATAACAAAGCTATACCATTAGCTGTATTATCTGTATATAATGGATGTTCCTGTAAGAACGGCTCCACAAAGTCTGGTAGTTCAAACTCCTCCACATCATCAGGAAGTGGCTCAGCAGTCTGCACATTAAGAAAAGTTACAGGACTTTGATACAGATCGTGTGATACATGCACCTCAAATATGTTGTTTTAGTAGATATTTCTTGAATTATCATATCAAATCTTTCTTTTACAGCAAGTCTCAGAAGTATTGGGGCAGCCAATTTGCAAACTCGCTAGCGAATTGGCTAACTGCTTAGGTTTTGACTAAACGGTTGGCTTTCGAATCTGGCTGGCATCGTCTTGTGGTCACGCCCACTTAAGGCGAATCTATATAACAGTAGGGGATGATCCTCATACTTTAGGAGAGATTCGGCAACGGTCTTACAGTTGGATGGCGATTTCGCTTTCAAATATACCAGGGAAAGTGCTCTATGCTCTTCAGTGTCCACACAAAAACGACGAATGAGGTTGATTTTTTCAGCGGTTGGCTTAATGTTACCCCAACAGATCGTTTGAGTGTGAAAGTTTGTTATTTTCTCCCTGGTTTGTAGGAAACTGTTTCTCAACTTGTCTATTTAGTGTCAAGCAGTATTCAAGAAGGTTAATCTCATAATAAATATCGGTAGATTATTCGCATTTATAATATTAACACGCCAGCTGAATGTGGCCATTTTCAGCTCAAATCATTCAGGGGAATCCAGACATGTACCAGCCTGAGAATGCGTAAAAACATTGCATGTCCCCTAATGCAATATAGACTCGCCAAGAGTGGACGCGATCACAAACTGGCACCAGTGAGATTCAAAAGCCAACCGTTTAGTCAAAACCCAAGCAGTTAGCCAATTCGCTAGCGAGTTTGCAAATTGGCTGCCCCAAATACTTCTGAGACTTGCTGTAATACTTCCAATCTGTTTTTCATACACTGATCAACTTACATAGGACTACGTAAAACTGGCATATTGGAATTACATGATGGCAAGTTCACAGAATTGAATGGGACTACTTGGTGGGGAGTGTCGGTCATTGAGTTTGATTATTCTGTTGCGTATACAGTAGAACGTTGATTATCCGAAATGTTTGGTTATCCAAACCTACTGTGTGTCCCCCAAAGTTTGTATGCAGGTCTGGCTGTGTTCCGTATTATACAAAAGTCAACTGTAACAATAAATACTACAGTCGTCTTGTGTGATTTCCTGGTGCAACACTTTCAATAAAGCTATTATCAACATGTAATCAGACGTCTTTCACGTGTACGTTCATTGTTTACAGTGTCTGCGCAAACAATGAAACAAATTACTGTCTCCAATAATTTCCTAAATTCAGACAAGCCTATTATGCAACTCCAGTGTTCCACTGTAAATAACAAATGTCCTAAAAACACAAACTTCATCAAATGTCTTCTCCACTGTTTACAGTCAGATCCTTAACTTTACCAAGTTGTAAGTCACCGCAGTTCAGATACGTTTCCCGGGAAAATTCTACGGGGTTCCACTGCCATCAAAGAAATGCGGCAATGAGCCGACCCCATGGTTTTTTTTTTTATTTTTAATTTTAATGTCCAGTATCAGAAGTCACATCCTTTTCGAAATAAAAAAAGAAAGAAAATAACTTCCGGGATATCTTGCCACAGAAGCAACGCCAGTTTAATAGTGCAGTGAAAAAGAGTGACGAAACGACAAAACCTTGGTGTGCCTCTTTGATGGTTTATCAGCAGACAACGGCAACCAATGATCACAGTCGGCGGGCCGTTTGATGGTTCACAGCGTCGAAGTGTTTACGTCCGATGATCACAGAAGCCAACCTGGATTTTTACAACAATTTATTATGTCAATCGTTCTAGGTGTTAAAAACTTTGCTGAATCCAATAAAATAGGGACATCTTGTAGCAGTTTACCATTCGAAAATCCACGAGCAATCTGGTAACATCGAGCTGATCTATACACAGCATATACAAAGCGACCTTTCACGTGTTTACTTTATCAGCGTCTTTTATCTAGCGTTGACATGGCTACCCCAGTGAAACGTAAACGCTGTGTGCTTGATTTGAACGTGAAGGTGTCAATTATAAATAGACTAGAACTTGGCGAAACCGCAAGCAATCTATCTACCGAGAATGTGTTGGTAAATCGACGATATCCGATATCAAGGCAAAACAAAAGCTGTTGGATTTTTCCAGTAAAACGGATTCAAGTGCAGGACTGAAACGAAAGATAATGAAAACAGCCAATGACGATCGTTTAGAAAAATCCGTCTTCACTTGGATCCGGGACTTGGTTTTTCCAATAAAGAAGCAACGGAACTTTATTATCGCTACATTTTACGGACATTTTGAAACAATTTTTAAAATTCCAGCATGCAACATTTTTATTACAATGTATTACTGATTAAATAAAAATGTTTTTAATGACGTACTCTACATGTAGTATAATACCTCATATAAGCGCCACCCTAGATTAGGCGCCAGTACAATAGAAAAGGTGATAATTTTCACACCAATTAGGCGCCAGTC